GGGGGAGTATAGGGTATGAGGTGTGGGGTTAGCCTATGCTTGCTGTAGGGGTGTCGGGGTGTCGGGGTGTCGGGGTGTCGGGGTGTCGGGGTGTAGGGGTGTGGGTGTAATGGTGTAAAGGGGGTGTAGGGGCGGAGGGGTGTCGGGGTGTACGGGTGTAGGTGTAGGGGTTTAGGGGTGTGGGGGTGTGGGGGTGTATGGGCCCAGGGGTCACACGGTACCGCACGGGATTACTATAGGGGTTATTCAGGGGGAGTTCAGACTATATCTCATGTGTGTTTATGCTTCACATGAAGAATACTTGACTGTAAACAAGTGCCTCAGAAGACCGAACCTAGTCACTCAGACTCTTGTAATGGGCCCCACAGACGTTCTGCATCCAGAGGGTCGACAAGTGTGTCACAGCAATGTAGCTTAATGCAGCTTGCAGTCGCAATCTCAAATTCAGTCCAGTCTAGCAGTTAGACAATTTGAGTCCTGAGATTCCATGAATCTTTGGGCTCTGTTTGCATGTCGGCTTGAAAAGCAGAGGACGAACCTCCGAGGTCGTAGAGAGCTTCGGAAGGTAGATCTGGCCTGGGCCATGGACACTCCAGAGGTGGCATCGCGAATCAAGTTTTTGAGACAGAACAGTTTGAAAAGTCGCCTGCCTCATCCATCAGCTCAGCTTTGTATCCTTCTGGCTTAGATGTTTAGAGTCCTGTCTGGCCTTTCTTTTCAGCTCCTGACCGCACAGGTCGTGGGCTGCATGGTGCGGACGTGTTGACGGCCATCGATGAGCGGTTCGACGACTTGGAGGACAATGTGGCGGAGCTACAGCAAGCAGTCATCGCTTTGCAGCAGCTCCTCTCACAGAACTCGCCAAGTAACGGATGCGTGGTCTGCCGCGTGAATGTGGACGATCCAGTCATATTCCACAGGGAGAACGGAGAGGAGAACCACTCAGACGATGCGAGCCAAGAAGCGCCTTCCTCCGCTAAGCTGACTTCGCCGCCTGCACCGCCTGCACCGTCTGCACCGCCTTCGCCCATGGTCTCGCCCATGTCAGTCCCGCATGAGACCTAGCAGCTCTAGCATTCCTAGTACGCAGCATCTGCTTTGCACATGCCTTAGGTCTTGGTATAGAAGCGAACTGAAAACTGGCCCGGGCAAGGTACTCGTCGGAAAGCGAGCCTGACAACACTCCTGCCCAGAATCGCAATGAACATGTGTTCCAGCACCGTTCTCCTTCTCCTCCCCAAAAGCCCAAAGCCTGATAGCTTGTACCGTGTGACTCCAACTGTGGCCCTTGAGCACAGGACAAGTCAGATCGCACCAGTGGCCGGAGGATTACTGACTTGATTGCCAACAAGGTTGCTGACGTGGATGAATCTATCTTAAACAACCAGACGCAGGACGATGTAGGGTGGCGTGTTCCAAGGTGTTTCTTGTAGTTTTTGAGGAAAGGGCAAAGGGCTTGCGGTGTCGGAGTTGAGGTACTTCTGCACTTCAGAATCCATGTAGGCCCAAGAAGTTCACACGTTTTTGCTCGCAAACTTCGTAGTACTTCTTCCATTTTTTCCCATTGATTTGGAGCAGAGGGGGTTTGAGACCGGGTTGGTGCTTACCTGAACCGTCTCCATTGGCAAGGAGTATTATACGTTTGGCGAGTCTACGTGGGACCTTTTCATCTTCATTGGTGCCTGGCCAGCATGGTACCCCACACCCCGGCCCCCCAGGGCCTGTGAAAATCTTGCTACCCCCAACAAACTCCTCACGTTCAGCACTTGTCAAATCCTCAAAGACACAAAATTTTGATGCATTCAGCGCCCGCGAGCCCAAGGTACTGGAGCACTTGGCCCTCTGGGTTCTTTACAAACCTTTCTGCTCGCTGTGGTGAATGTCCTGATGCAGATCGTCTTCGCAGGCCAAAGGAATGAGTTCAAAGCTTGAGTTCCGAAGATGGGGCAGGGTGGCGAGTTCAGATTTCTATTGTTTTTCACTCACTCTGGTCGTGCCGACATCCTGAGGCATCCCTAAAGACAACCTGGCTCAGCCCACGGTGTGATACCGAGGTGAGATAGAACCAAAGCTGGATAAGAATGCTGATAAACGAAGCTGTCCTGGGGGCCTTTTTATTTTGTTCTTTATGTTTATTTCTAAGTTTTTTCAAATGGGTAATCAATGCATATCACATCAAGAAGCGCCCAACAGACAGTGACTGGAAATATCGTCTAGCTAGAACCATGTTGTCTCACAAGCATAGCTAGTGCTACGCATGTCAAGAAGCATTCACGTAGAAGGTTGAATGCTTGGTAACGCAATCTGCTTCTAATCCGGATAGACTTGAAGTGCGGCATGCCCCAAAAGCCTATCAAATTGTTTGGGCCCCTACACTAGTAGGGACGGTACCACGGCCCCCAGACATCCAGGTCCTCCATTCTGAAATCTGACCCAGCCCCTTGGCCAGCACTTCAATGATTCTGGCATGCCCGTAGGCATTGCTTTCTTCAACTTCATCGACCCTGAGATCGATGAGAAGACCGCCCTGCAGTCGCAGCCAGAAGGCTTTTCAATGTCCTTGGCTATTTTTGACATAAGCAATACAAGGCATGACGTCTGTGACAATACGGCATGTTACACCACCGTGGAAACCTTCTTTGTGAGCTGCTAGAAGCACAAAGCACAGAACCATGAATTCGGTATTTCCCTTGAAATCGGGAATCAGAGTCTTTTCATGTACTAGAAGAAGAAGGAACGTATTGGCTGAAGATGATCAGGCTCCCTTTGCAAGTTAGCGGCGCCTCAAGTTAGGTCCCTAAACCCTAAACCCTAAACCCTAAGAGACGCCTCAAGTTAGGTTCAGGACGCCACTCGCTGGAGGCGATCTTCAGGACACTCCTTGAGCTCTTATGATGAGGCATGTGGGGGTTTCCCATAATTGTGGGTACCTTTTTGGGGGTCCCTATAGTAAGGACTTTCGTATTTTTGGTACCCTAATTTAGGGAAACTACCATGTCTGGGAAAACCCGAGTTACCATGAGGCATATCCTAGAGTCCCTCATGGCTTACGCTACGGATAACACTTTTGTGTCGTAATATGTCTACTACCCAGGTGGCATGACGCCGTCACTCACAAATGTGGTTCAGGTTGGGCATGCGAGGGTATCTTAATTGTGTTGGCCATAGACTGCATGCAGGGCAACAGGACTCATGACTTTGAGTGCTCCGCATCCGAAGACACTGCATAAACCCAGCTTCCAATCAATTTCGTTTGCTCCTCCATATTTGGGGCAACAAACTATCCAAAACCCTACAAAACCATCTGCCAGAAACACAGCATCCTGAATTACACAAACTTTGTCATCTCGATTTAAGAGCTACACCCTAAACCCTAAGGCCCTAAGACCTGGAAACATGGGCCATCAGGTCTCGCGAAATTCCCTGGTGGACAGGGTATGCTCACTGGACAAGTCGCTACATGAGTCCGGAATTCAGATGGCGCTTTACGAGCATATCGGAATCTCGTGCAGGCATTTGCTTTCAGCTCGAGACCTCAAAACCCTGACCGCCTGAAACTATCAAGAGCCCTTAGTTACCTCCAAACATCAAGCCTCGAAAACATCAATACCCTAAACCCTAAATAGTAGTTTCCATTTCTTTTCCATAATCCCTATAGAACCCCAATCTAACCCTAGTATTCTATTTACTTAAGGAGACTATACTCTCAGGAAAGTACCTCAAGCCAGATGCGCGCGGCTTTGAAGCTGTTTTCACAGGGGAGCTCCTTTGTATTGTGGCCTTAGTCACCAGGTGGCACTTTCAGGCTCAGGAGTTGAAGCTCTTCTTTTTGGGGATCCATGAAATATGCCAGCAGCCCTACATCCTGTGCGGTGGAGTTCCTGTGCTTACAACTGAGGTCTGCTGGTATCTGATGGTGGCCAAGGAGGTAAGTCACGCCCTTGCATCCAGCATGCAGTTGGGAAATAAGAGAAAAACAGCAGCATGTGTTCTCAACTGTTGCTGGTTTTGAACCAATGGCAGTTGAAGATACCCTAAAGCCTGAACCATATTCGCAATATACTCTAAACCTCGAATTTCAAGTTTCTCGAGGTCGTGTCTTCAACCTTTTGAACCGAAAGCTGTTTGAGGCCCTCCATCGAGCTGTCGCAGCGCTACCCAGGGGTCGGACCACGCTGGATACCAGGGAGAACCCGTTCACACGTGTGGTGCACTACCGTGTTAAGAGCATGAACAGGAGGCGGGAGGTAAGGGTTTGTTATTATTTCTATTGCTATCAGTGGGCTCATACGCGACTTGTGTCTAGCATGAGGGAGCTCCCTATATAATCGCTGCACACTCCCTTATATAAACCCCAGAGAAGTGCATGCCACCAGCCCTATCTAGATATTGGTTTCACCTGTGGCTGCTTCAATATGGCCTCTGTGTCTTGTCGCGTCATGTATCCGTTGGGAAGCACTTGAAGCCGTGAAGATTGAAGATGAACATCTGCACCGATTCCTTAGCATTTCTGTTCCATGCCTCTCGAACCGAAGACTCAGATGAGAGGCGAAAAGCGGTGAGCTTCGTGTTGCTGCTCTACCGGCTCTTCTCCGCAGGCGAGGGTTATGTATATGTGTTCACTTGGAATGGGTTCTGAGAGGATGTCAGAGGGTTTTCCAGGGATTACACATGGAGTAAGTAGGAAGTTTTAGGTCAACAGCCTGTACCAAACTTGGACCCAGTAGAATCCAGATGTTTAGATTTTACAATGGCTATCAGACTGCCAGGGTTCATGCTTCTATGGCCTTACTTTCATCCGATCGATGTCTTAAGCCTCAGAAGAGTACTACAAGGCCCCCGCAACTACTGAAAATATGGCTTGGTTGCTTCTCTGGTTCAGCCCTGTCGCGCAGGATAGAAGTACATGTCTTGGTAAGCCCGTGTTTCTGATTTCCGGGCGAGTGGGCCATTTGTTTTTTGCAGGGAGGTGTTTTGCGGAACAGGCCTCCTTGTCTATGTCGGCACCTTCTTCTTGGTGTATACCGTTAGCGTCACAGAGCTGATCCTCAATGCTGCCGCCTTGTTCGCAGAAATGCTCAAGGTCTCATATCGGGAGCTTGCTACAGCGTTAGGGGGTTTGGCATGTTCAGGGCTCAGCAAGTGAAGCATGGACAGATGCATGCCGCTTCCGCAATCTCACCCCATCAGCGCGAGCAGTCCCCAGCAACACTGTTGACTGTTGAGACATCCCCACAGAGAAGCTGCTGCTGATGATTATTTTACTTGCGTGAAAGCCTCAAAACCTACAGAGCTTCTATTCCAACGGTTTGATTCCCCGCATCCGTGCTGAAACCTGCTAACGCTTTAGATGTTGATCTACAATGTTTCACTTATTTTCAGTATGTTCTCTTCGGAACGTATCTACGCAAACGGTGGTTGCAACACTTGCTCGTCATCATCATGAAGCGGTGGAGGGTTCCCAAAATATGTTGGTGCTTTGCTTCATTTAGGATTTCTGTCTGGGCTTCTCCTCATCCCATGAGGTAGGACGGGCGCTCTCCTATAAAGATTTCTTTGTTTCATGAACGGGTGCTTGTCAAAGCTTTTCTTGAACCGCAGACGTGGTGGGTCTTGACAGTAATGGGGCAGTAGTTCTTTTCTTTTGGACCAGTATTCAGTTTGCATACTTTCTACTCCGACTTTCCAGGATGATTCCATTGATTTCCTGTATACTCCTCCCTTAGCCCTAAACCCTAAACCCTCTCAGGTAGCCCTGGGCATCATCCTTGACATCGACGATCTCCTCTTCGATGCTTTGGCCACCACCCCCGGGCGGCATCTGGTGCACCAGTTGGACCCGCTTCTCGCTCTTCATTCACAGGGGGGATTTCTTGTGGGCGAATAGGGTCGTAGAGCGTAAAGGGATCACGCCCCTCTTACCGATCACTTGTTGGGATTGTTTCTGAGAAGCTCTCACATTCCGGGCCATTCACAGACGTCATCCGACTTCAGGACAACTCAGGTGACTTACATGTCTGCTTTGTTTGGACACCAAAGTCCAAACCTGCAATCCAAGCACTCACCCTACAACGCCACATGCTGCACTCTTAACTGCAGACTCCAGCTCAGCAATATTAGTGATAGTAGGAATAGTAATTATACTAGCAACTAATAATTTGAGCGCCAGGCCCCAAACATGCTGAGCTCTAGGTTGCAGATGCCATCCGTGCCGCGATGGAGAGGTGCTGATGCCAAGTCCCTGGCCATGCGCCTGGGCTCTGACGTCATGCTGGAAGTCAGTAGAGAATGAAGAATAGATCTCCGTGGTGACCTGGCAATCTCCATTTTGACTCTGGCAACCCTAAACCCTAAGTCTTGGGAAGATGGTGCTGGCTAGTGTCATTGAACGAAAGAGGCACTGAACCTTTAGAATGAGCTTTAGTGTGCGGGTGTTCTAGCAATTGGGGGGCCTTCTTGGTGAGAACTATGGGATGATCTTTCGTATACTTTTGGCAGCCTTCCACGATTTCGAGCAGTTTTTGGTTTGGAAGAGCGAGATCTTGGACGCGGCGTATGTGATTGGAACATTTGTGGGAGATTCTCAGGACAGTCCCGACGAAATGCTAAAGGAGGACCCCTATCATCCGGCAACATACTGGTACCTGGATATCCTCAATGCCCTTCAGGGCCCTTTCATGTTGAGAAAGCCGCCGCGCGTAGCGTTCACAGTCCTGCTTGCGAATTTCATGTAACGGCACGGGGACAAGTCAACAAGTATCAAGGCTACCAAGGGTCATGATGAGGGGGTCTGCAGCGAACTAAAAGTGTTTTACAAAGGCTTCTGCGAAAAGATTTCATTCCCTGTAAATTGCCTTACGTTGGCTGCGTTAGTTGAACAGTTTGTTATCATACTCGTTCGCGCAATGGTTCCATTTGTCGAGAAAGTTCTGTTGTCCTGAACGACTTTTGTAAATAGTTTTTTCCCCTGCTTGGTATCATGATGGTCATCGTTGCTGTTGCCGTTACCACTGTTGCTCTTGCTCCATTTGTGCTTCAAGGTCACTTCTCAGTTTCTTTCTCTGATGCTTCTGTTTTGATTCCTGGTTGAGGTACACCCTCCCCACAACCTAAACATCCCCCGGCCCCAAGCCACAAACCCTAAACCTCACACGCGAACCCTACAGGGGCCCTACATCCAAACACCTGACCCTACACCCAAACCTTAAACTCTAGACATGACTGACTTGCGGGTCGTTAGTATTGAGTGAAGGAGTGGAGAAAGAATGGAATGTATTATGTTTTCGAGGATTGCTGATTATGTAGTGGCTACTGGAGGCATCTGTGTTCCCATTTCCGGCTAACAACCAGAAAGCAAATCCCATTTCCTTGTCTACTTGCTGTTCTATCTGGTTTTACATTCTCCCCCAACCCTAAACCCTAAATCCTAAGTAGCGCCGTGTCTTGGCATATTTCGGCAGCAGGCTGCGCGATGAACCCAAAGAACCTCAAACCCTATAATGGAAACTAGTATATATTGGGGTTATATAGAGATTGTAGGATATATATATATATATATATTGGGGTTATATGGGGATTATAGGGTATATATGGGGGTTATACAGGGATTATAGGATATATATTGGGGTTATATAGGGATTGTAGGAAATATATATATATATATATAGGGGTTAAATGGGGATAATGGAAAATGGAAACTATTCCCTGCTTCTCTGCCTTCCCCCTTCCTCCCCCATCCTTCCTACCCCATCCTACCCCCAAGGGTTTAGGGTTTAGGCCCCTAAACCCCAAACCCTAAACCCTAAACCCTAAACCCTAAAGAAAGATGAAGGTCCTTGCTAATCCCAACCTTGGTGGTCATCGTTTACCTGACTATGCTCCAGCCCATGGCGCCCGGCCTGGCCTTTTAAAGGGTATATGGGGTTTGGGGTCTAAGATTTAGAGTTTAGTGACTAAGATTTAGGGTTGAAGATTTAGGGCTTAGTGATTATGATTAAGGGTACAAGATTTAGGGCTTAGTGATTAAGACTAAGGGTTCAAGATCTAGGGTTTAGTGATTAAGATTTAGGGTTCAAGATTTAGGGTTTAGGGTTTAGGTTTGTAGGATGTAGATGGAGGTATATGCGGGTATATAGGTGTCTTGGGTTTGTACAGACGTATATGGCGGGCTAAATTTGTAGGGGTAATGCAGGAATATCATCCTAATAGAGCCGAATGGAAGGGAACATGGAACATAAAAAGGGAGCTGGGATTATATAGTGGATCATAGGGATCAGGGGTGCAAAAACAATTGATAAGGGTTGTGATGTACTAGGATCTATATTTGGCCCACTTTTCTTGGGAAACTTCATGTACATGGGAGCGTTCAAAACAGGTAAGAAGGAGATATAGTCCCCCCTAAGTAGATAGAATACGGCTTGGTGTTTCTCATGCTAAGATCCCCATAAACCCCCATATTCTATCTACTTAAGGGGGACTATAACCCCAATTTATATACCCTATTATAATACACTAGTTTCCATTTTCTTTTCCATTGTCCCTATATTACCCCTAGAATATACCCCATATTCTAGCTACTTAAGGGGGATTATAACCTTAAACCCTAAACCCTACTTAAGGGGGACTCTACAGTTTGCGGTATACAGTACACGGGGATGTAGAGGCTCCAGGGTTGACCAGTGATGTGTGGAAACAACTATAATAGAATAGCGTATATATTGGGGTCATATTGGGATAATTGAAAGTAAGATGGAAACTGCTATAATATAACACTCCCGAATAAGTGAGGAGTATGTGGGGGCTTTGTATGGGGAGTATTATAGGAACGAGCGGTTGCCGCTTGTTTGAACACATACTTGCTGTACAATCTTGGAAATTGAGACAGCATAATCTTGCTTAGCATCTTAGGTTGCAATTGTTTGTGGATGGCCCTCCAGCTTTGGTCTTACCGACCTTGTTGCTGCATGCCACTCATCCCTGCCCCCCCCCCCTTCTCCTTACCTGCATTCCTCCTATTTGGCAATTATCTCATCATTTCCTCGCTGCTATTCACACTCACTTCAGATACTCTGCAACTGCAACCTGGGGTGGGAGTTACACATGGGGTATATACGGGGTTTGCAGGGGTTATATAGGGTTTATATACAGATTGTATAGGGGTTGACATGCAGCATAAGAACAGACATTCAGAAGGACTCGCGCAACTGCAGCCTTGGAGCCCGCTAATCTTACTGCTGCTTAAGGGGGAGTGGGGGAGTGAATATGCGTACCGCTACAGGGGTAGATACTATGGGAATCATATAGGGATTATGAAAGGGATCCACTCCCCCACTCTCCCTTAAGCATCAGTAAGTAATGGTTCAGGTGGGCAGTCTCATGGATGTTCGAGAGGCTATGTGCGGAGGACAGACCAGTTCCATGACGCTCCTACGAGCTATAGTCTAAACTCCCGAGAGGGGGTTGTATGAAGGATTATACAGGGGACTACTATAGAGGTTATTAAGGGGGATGCTAGGAGTTTAGATTATGGCTCCTTTAGTAAGCCTTTTCCTTCTTTTATTCTTCCTGAGCTGCACAAGTTTTTATTACCAGTTGTAAGTCTGACCGATTTTTCTGCATCCAGTCTCGAAGCATGCAGGCTTTGTGTGGATGCAGGATCCTTGGTCAGTCTAGCAGAAAGTTCCAACACTTTTGTAGTTTTGCTTTGCAGATTTGAGCTGGCGTCTGGAGCAGGAAGAAGGCGATTCCATTCAAATCTTCTGTGGGTTCATGCAGGATCAAGGTACTTGCCGCTGCAGGCATCTAGCTTGAATCGTTCGTCGGGTTCTATATGCCTGGAAGGCTGTTTCAAAGGTGGGTAACCTAAGACCTGTACGTTTAGACGCTCTAGGATTACAATCCTTGAGCCCCCCGTCGAAACCGATGAACGTCCTAAATCCTGAGCTTCATTTCCTGACCTTTACAGCACTACCCTAAAGTGTGTTGGCGGAAAAAGGGTTTCCGGCTTTCTGGTACCACTACTACTGCTGCTGCTGCTGCCTCTGCCAAATGCTAGCTAGTGCTGGTCTAGCTTTACGACCTTTCCAAGTTCTGCGCAGCCCAGGATCCACGCCGCATCATGTTGATGGCGCCGACCGCTGGGGGCGGCTGGGAAGACGATGACCAGAGCGTGAAGACTGTTGCGGTGCAAGAAGCATCACAGATACCCAGATGGCAACAGTCACGGTAGTGTTTGTAGTAGTCTCAATAGCAGCAGCAGAAGTGATCGTCGTCGCAGTGGCAGTCGTTGAGGAGCTGTGGTCGCGGCAGCAGCGGCAGCAGCGGCAGCGGAAACAGAAGAAACAGCAGCAGCAGCAGCAACAGCAGGAACAGCAGCAGCAGCAGCAGCAGCAGCAGCAGCAGCAGCAGCCATGGTAGTAATAGTCGTCATATCAGCCGCACCGCACCAATGGGTTTCTCATAGATTTTGGGAAAACATGTTCTTTGACCGGTCACTCATCCGTTTGGTGGAGTGGCGCACCACATTCTTCAACGTCCAAGCCCAACATGTCCCTGGACAGTGCGCACCTGCAGAGCGTCCCGACCCAGAGTATCCCTTCTCCAGTGCTAACTGGAGTATCCAGGTTGTCCTAACCGAAGGAGTGTTCCGACAGTGCCCAATGCTCCATTTCTCGTCCAGCAGCAAAAACATGAACGGTATTCTGGACCAAATGTTAGGTTGAAGACGGTTGAAGTAGAATCATTTCTTTGTTTAGGTTGTTGTTGTTGTTGTTGTGTGAGAGCCCTTGTGATATAGCAACCATAGCATAAAGCATGAATGCCGCATCTGTGGCATTGGAAGTATTACAATATATAGTAGCTTCCATGTTCTTTGATCCCATTGTAGTATAATATAGTCTAATATAGTATAGTATAGTATAGTATAATCTAGTATAATATAGCATGATCTAGTATAATTTAATATAGTATTATATATCATAATATAGTATAACATAGTATAACATAGTATAATATAGTATAACATAGTATAATATAGTATAATATAGTATAATATAGTATAATATAGTTTAACATAGTATCATATAGTATAATATAGTCTAGTATATGAATGTATACTAGCATGTTGAGGGGAAGACCCAGGATTGGCTTTGGCATAGAGCAGAACGACACGAGCTACGGTATTTGGTTCACAGACGTGGCGCTACTTGCCACGGCCGCCAGTCGAGATCTGGATGAAGTGTTGGATGCAGAGAACCCAGCATGTGGGGATCTTGCCAACGAAGGAAAGATGCTCAACTATTTGCGATTCTTTCTGAAAAATGACAGCATACGCAATTGCAGCGATGCCGTCGGCTACTGTGACTCTGTCACGAAGATACCCACACTTGAAGGTGATGGTGGCTTAGGCTTCGTGACCCGAATGCTGTGCCCAGACACCTGCGGTTGCAACACGCCAGCTGGAGAGTTCATGGATGTTCAAGGCTGCTCCTACGGAGGTTCGTCACGCCCATGCTTGTTGCATGACCGGTGGAGGGATGTGCGAAGGGAGAGTGTCTGCAAGGAGAAGAGTGCAGAAGAACTTCGCCAGCTTCCCCAGTGGGCTGCATGGGTGGAGCACATCCGAAGCTATGCCCGGTCAGACGCGGATCTGAAAGGCAAAGCGGAAGCCTGGAAGCTCGCGCAGGCCATGTGGGATTACGGGTGCAAGTTCGGAGACAACATGTCGGCCGAGGGTATTGATTATGGAAGCTGTCTCAATTGGAACAGTGGGGTCTTCGAATTCAAGCTGAAGACGATGGAAAATATTTGCCCGGAGACGTGCAACTGCAACAACAACAAACGATCAACGGCATGTCCGAGGCCACTGGGCCGAACATGCGAAGTCATGGAGGACTGCCTCTGGTACCAGGACCGGCCAAATAGAAGAATAGGTTAATGCTGAATTGCTGCCACAGAAGTCGTGTCCAAGATGTCAGAAGATTTGATCTTCCCAAGTTTTCTGGAAAGTAGCACCTTGTCCTCGTTGCGCTTAGCAGCGTTGAGGAACAACACTGGTGTCCGCATGTCACTTCCACCGTGGCTGGCAGCTTCTCAGGCAAACAACCTTGCCGGTCGTTGGTAGGACATGAAGGAAGGGAAAAGACAATAACAGCTTCTAGAGAGTATAGGGTTTATGAAGTGGAAAAATGTCGAAACTATTACAATTAAGGGTTTAAAGTTAGGGTTAAAGGAATTGGAGAAGAACATTGCAACGACTGTATTCTCGGGAATTGTATAGGGGCTCTCCATTCTCTACTACCAGCCAGGAACTCTTCTAGCAACTGGCAACCGGCTCTACAGGAAGCATCTGGGGAAGAACGACAGAAAAACACACGCATTGTTCAGCCTAAACCGCGAGGCCTTTTCATTACCATATGAGCTACGGTCAATATTGGCCTTATTAAGGGGCCTTTAACAGTGGACATAGGGGTCCCTCTTGTAGTTTAGTATAGTCGCTAATATAGTCCCTAATAAGGAACCCATGTCCATTAAATTGGTAAGAAATATTGGCTGTAGCTCATATAGGTTTGAGGTTGCCAGAGGCTGGAGCGGCAGTGCATGTGGTGTAGGTTGTGGATTTCTCTACCGCAAAAACCCAACGGTATAAACCTGGTGTTTTGGGGGGAGCTAGGGTAGTCGTCTTCTCCTTTTCTGGGCCCGGAAGGCACTGGGTCAGTACATTGGAAGAAGGCGTTGCAACATGTGTGTTGAGCGTACGAAGTTCTACAAATCCAAGTCCTTGGAAGCTAGTCTGTTGAAAGATTGCCTGGGAAGGAAGCTGGCAGCAGCAGCAACCACCACGACGACGACGACGACAAAAACAATAGCAACGACAGCGACAGCAACAACGGTTACAACAAGGACAACGCCGATAGCAACGAAAGCGAGAGCGATAACAGCAACAGCAGCAGCAACAACAACGACGACAACAACAGTCGTTTATAGTGTCATAAGTTTCATCACGACAATGGTAGCAATACCAACCATATTCGGAATTACGACATATACACACATGTAGAGACAAATATCTATGCTCATATATGTCTTAGATATCTAACAACTCTTGCCCCTTTAATCAGGCAGCATCGCGAACACGACCGTGGCGCAAGACCACTGGGCCTCTGTACAACTCGGTCTTCGCCAGACCTTGGCGCAGACTGCAGGGAACGGGATCTTTAGTTTGGTCAGAGGGCAAGTGTTTTGTAGGCTTTTTCTTTGGGTTAGGGGTCTGGGGTTCAGGAATTTGGGATGCAAGGCGAGGTGTTCCATACAGGTCCTTGGTATTCTGGTTGTTTGGGTTTCCTCAAACACCAAGACTGCATCCATTAAGTGCCTCCTCTCCTTTTTGCCTGCCCTTGAAGTGTTTGTGGGCGACAGTCTAAGGATTGAGCCAGGTGTCCGGCCTATGTTCGGTACATTTTACGTGTTTTCCATTACAGCGCACAAAGCCAAAGACAAAAGAAAATCAGGGTGAGGCATCCAGAATCCTGCTTCGATCCTTGTGAACCCACCTGTCAGGGTTTACATGGACACATTACTACCACTATTGCTAGTAGTATTATTACGATTAGTATTAGTATTACCATTAATATTACTATTACTACCATACGCCGATTTTTTTGATCCCGGGAAGCGCTATGCATTGTCAGGGCCCAAATAAAGTTGTGTCAGGATGGGTCATGCAGCTTCATTGTGCAGCACTGTAGTTGCCAACCCTAAACACTAAACCCTAAACCCTAAACCCTAAACAGCGGGTGTCTGGCAAGGCTCTCAACCCTTCACCTGGCTTCATCTCAAGGGCTAAAGTCCTTAAAGGGGGTTATATGGGGGATTATATAGGGTAATATAGGGTTTAGGGTTTAGGGTTTAGGGATTAGGGTTTAGGGTTGAGGGTCTAAACTCCTTAGAGGGGGTTATATAGGCGGTTATACAGGGACTACTATAGGAGTTATTCAGGGGGATACTAGGAGTTTAGACTATAGCTCATTTACAAAGAGAGCAATACACTGGTCCAGCTGATGAGGTCTTACTGTTCGGTAGCTAGACATTCATTGGGGTGGAAGGTGTCTGGAATTTCTGCCCCTGAGGCCCAGAGTCTTTTGTTGCTGACTCTCTGCTCCTTTTAGAACCTCAAACGTTTCAGGCAGGTGTTGTCAGTTAGCTTTGTAAGGCTCCAAGAGAAAGCAAGGAATGGTTCTTCTCACTACCAACTCTCCGCCTTCCGATCGGCTGCTCATGGAGGCCGTGCATAAATGAATAAGGGAAAACACACAACACACGCTTGAACCTGCACGGGATTTGCGGTCTGGAGAGCCAGGAACTGAGGAAGGATGAGCGCATTCTGGTTTCTTCCAAACCTAGAACCATTAGGATTCTGGACGCACTGTGAATGTCGAAGTTAGGCCACCATAGAACAAACTGAACCCGATGCCGATCCCAAGTCCACGGACCCGAAAGGAGGGATTGCGAAAGCTGCAAATGGCACTCTCTGGATCATTCAGCATCTTCCTCGTTAATGAAACTATGGTTGCCTCGCCGCTCTTGGAATTGTTTTTGAATATACAAAGCTCCAAGTCACAAAGCCAGTATGATGTGTGTAAAATACCCGAGATCATCAAAGGTCAAGAGGACAATCACGGCGGCAGTCTTTGGTGTCAGCGTGGGAGACATCACGTCGCAGCTTGTGGCGACTGACTTGTGTTTCAGTCGATTTTTGGGCCAAGATCAACGGTTGTGAGTCTTGGGGCTCTGGAGTTTATTTCTGAGGTCGAAGGTTTCGCTGTAGAAGTTCAGGTGGAGGATTTCAACTAGTCTTCCGCAAGTTGATTTCTGGAGCCACCATGCGTTGTGCCCAAACTGGTCCGTCTTCTCTGCATCCAATTACCGCAGGGCCAGAAGAGGGTTTGCTTTCTACAGTTTCTGGCAGCCGTTGTCACTACAAAAGGAATGGACGGCCATGACTTTGGATGACAGAATATGAGCAGCTTTCGCTGGGTTAGGGCTTAGGGTTTAGGGATCAAGGTGGATGCTAGGGATCATCACGGGAAGCAATGCCTATGCATATTTGCAGAGGGATTGCCGACACTTCCTCCTTATGCCACGCAGTGTTCATTGCTTGGAAGATTTCATTGCAGTTGTTTATTTGATATTCTTTTCATTTCATGCTGCAGTATGTATTTCTACTATTACTACAGTAACCCGACGCCCTTAGACCCTGATGCCACTCAGGCAAATCTTGAAATACTTTCAGTACCCACAGAGCTGGGAATCTCCTTGAGCAGCTTTGACGACTCCTGAGCTGCAGTGAAGAAGTGGCGCTTGATTTGGGATTTGTGAAAATATTCCATAGTTTTTGCATAATAGGGCCCTCCAGAATCCTGGCATAATCCTTAACTATCCCCATATTGTGAAGCTTTTCTTCAGGGTCTGGGCACGTTCTAAGCTCGGAACACAGTCCCAGCTGCTGCATGTGACATACCCGCCACGTCTCAGAAGTCAGCAGGAAAACTACTGCCAGGATCACCTCCATTATTATTACTATTATTACTACTACTACCGTTACTACCGCTACCATTCCTACTAGTACTACATATTATTTCTGTTATTACCATTGGTACTAGTATTCGGTACCATTGTTACTCTTCTAGCCGCATTATTTTTACAAGTATTATTTCAATTAATACTATGCAGACAAGACTTGGAGAGCAAGTCTCCTGACCTAGCGGAGTTGTCGAACATCCGGACAGGCTACGTGATCCTATGCATCCGCAATAGCAGGAATAATAGTTATAGTCGTAATAATAGAAATAATAGTGCTAACAGGAAGAATAATACGGCCAGAATCCCAGGTTTGCCGTCGCCTATCGCGGAATACTGGTGGGCGTGGGATTTCGGGCTCGGGATACCGAGGGGCTCTATGGGCAAAAGCCCTGAGTTTTTTGAGGACAACAATCTAATGTTGAGGACAGCACAGCTCTCGAAAGGTCCTTCGTTTTCACAGCCACTTGCAGCACTTTGGGTTCCCAGGTCACCTGGGACCAGATCTGAGAATTCTTGGCACCAACATCCTACCTGACCATGCATTTTACTAGAAGGGGGGAATTATAGGGTAGTCTGGCAAGTGGATGTTCTGGGAACAGCAACATTACTATGGTTGGGGCATCTGGTCACCGTATGTTCGGGGACCACGCACGTTATTATGGCTTGGGCATGGATGCTGTGGTCACGGTATGTTCTGGGAACACGAACGTTAGAAATGGGGGTACGATTTACAAGCCGTTGTCTCCTACTTGTACCTCTGTAGAATCTGGAAATATCGTGATTTCCTACTTGTATCTGTATAGATACCCGACAAAGCCTTGAAACCTACTTTAGAAACACCACCACCCCCCAAAGAACCACAGCAGCTGCGCCATCACGAATGTTCACCTGATGGCGAAGGTGGGGGTCTGGGGGTAATCATAGCCATAATAGCAATGATAGTAAAAATCGTAAACATAGTAATAATAGTTCTAATACTGTTGCTGGATGAAATCTTGCACCCCCTAGGGGCGGTAAGCTACTGTAATTCCTGGTACTTTGGGGGCTTGTGCAAGATTTCCTCCATCAACAGTAGTAGTTTGTCAGGAGTTGGAGAAAGCGTAGCATAAGCTCCAATTGGGAATGTCTGGTCCTCGACCCAGAGGCCGTCTCATTGTTGCCTGCGTTTGTCAGGACTCCGCATCTTTCGGTTAGGGCCCTAGGCCAGCAGTGTAAATTATGATTAGTGCTAGTACCATAATAATACGTATTACTAATATTGTTGCTATGATTATTTTCGCTTTTATTATAATTATTGCTATTACGAATACCATTCTTATTAGTTTATTAATTACTATTGTTGCTACTATTGCTGCTCCAAACCCTGTGAATCTGGCAACCAGTTTGCAGGTTTGTTGTACCCACAAAGGGGGGGGGATCTCAAAAGCATGCTTGTAATGTGTTTAGTTGCAAGGATATCACTCGACACGACAGTTTTGAGACACCCTCCCATATGTGAAGCAGGGCGCCAGGATGGATTCCTAAGCCCTGTGAACCACAAAGGAACGCTTCTGTAATGTTGAGCTCTGGCTTGCAGGGCGCTGTGTTGGCCCATCCTAAAATGCTGACACCCAAATGGGTGCAACGTGAGTCGCGCGCACTGCGACCTGTTCCAGATCAAGGACCAAGGAAAGACGGATCAGCAAAAAGTGTGCTGGCTGGCATGTTTGCTGGCGTTTATGTAGCCCTATATGTTGCGCGTGTTTCCGCCAACTTGACTGCAAGTTTCATCTCAGACGGCAAGGTTCTTGTGTGCAGGGAAGGGGATGTGTTTGAGAGCTCAAGTTTCTGCAAATGCTGCAGTCGGGGCCCAAACAGTGAACGTACTACTGGAGAATGACCGAGACAGCTGCTTGCAGCCTGTCTGGTCGGCCCGGGGAGATCCCCGCACCGGAGGTTGTTCCCTGGCCCCGTTTCTCTCGAAAGCCGCTTTCCCGCAGCTCATCAGCATCGTCCCAGCAGAGCTTCGAGATTGTGCTCGGCCCTCGTACGCGTCTCCCATCAAGACTAGGTACAGCGGACCAGGACAAGTTGAAGCTGCATCGTGCAGATATTGTCTCAAAAGCCAATATCTCAAGCTCTGTGAACTGCATCCGATACAGTGACTACCGGCGACTGACCAACCCAGAACGGTTCGGTGGACCGGAGCTCTCGTTCGGGAGTGCCCTTCACGTTGGCGATGGCAAAAATGCCATGTGCTTGGTTTGCAGCGTCCTAGCTGCAAAGAGGAAGCACACAAGTCTTGAATTGGAGCTAAGCATGAATCCTGGCAATAGTACCAGTAGAAAGTTGAAAGAATACCCTGATGATACGTTTCCAGCTGCTTCACACCAGGTTTTCACAAGCCACCGTTACGAACATGCAAGAACGGTGCCTTCTGCGATTTCTGTCATTTGCATGATGGAAGACGCAACGGGAGGCGCCGAGCTCGGCGTGAAACTTGGCTCAAGCAAGTGGTAGACCGGATATGCAGAGGCACTGGTAATATGGTGGGCGATTCCAGTAGGGACAACAGGCTGAAGACATGTTTAGACCTCTCCATGGGTGTTCTTGTGCAAGGATCGGTCCGGGCGGATGACCTGGGATGACACGGAAATCCAGTTACTGCAGGGCATTCTGCTGTGAATCCTGCCAGGGTCGAATGGCAGGCCTGGTATGACATGTGAAGCGGTTGACAACCACGGCCTTAAGGTAGCCAGCTCATGACCGGCCAGAAGATAACTTCTGTGCTTTATCATAGTGCTTGAGACGGTACACGGCGCTGTACTATGGTGGACAAGCGGTCCACGAGCGGCATGCTTCAAGATTCTGGTATGTCCCAGTGTTTCACAGATTTATAGGCGGACAGAGGTGCCTACAAACCCTGTTCCCTTTCGTATTGCGTGGGGCGTTACTGTCCACGAGCGACATGCCTCAAGATTCTGGTATGTCCCGATGTTTCACGGATTTCTAGCCTCCAGGACAGAGGTGGCTACTCGCGTAATCGCAAGAGGGTTTCTTGGACATGTTTCATTTATCGTTTGGAGCACCAACGGCAATTTGGCAAGGAAGGGCAATCCCTGTGCCCAGCACAAAACCTCTGCGTTTTATGATACTGCTTGGAGCGGCACAGGCCCTGTCCAATGGTGGATGAGCGGAGAGGCATGCCTCAGGATCTGGTATGTCGCGATGTTTTGCCAATTTTCTAGCCCCCCGGACACAGGTGCCTACTTGAGTAATGGCAAGAGTTTTTCTTCAACATGCTTCATGTATCGTTTGCTGCACCAACGGCACTTCTGCAAGGAGGGGCAATCCCTGTTCGCAACAGAGAACGTCTGTGCTTTATCATGCTTCATCATGTCATATTGCTTGGGGCGTTCCACGGCCCTGTACTATGGTGGACAAACTGTCCACGAGCGGACTGCCTCAAGATCTGGTATGTCCTGATGTTTTGCCGACTTTCTAGCCCCCGGGACGCAGGTGCCTACTCGAGTAATGGCAAGAGGTTTTCTTCAACATGCTTCATGTATCGTTTGCTGCACCAGCGGCACTTCTGCAAAGAGGGCAGTCCCGGTTCTCAGTAGAGAACCTCTGTGCTTTATCATGCTTCATCATGTCATGTTGCTTCGGTCATTACGCGGCCTTGTACTATGGTGGACAAACTGTCCACGAGCTGCACGCCTCAAGATTCTGGTATGTCCCGATGTTTCACGAATTTCTAGGCGGACAGAGGTGCCTACAAACCCTCTGTGCCTTTTCGTTTTGCGTGGGGCGTTACACAGCCCTGAAAATGGTGGACAAGGGGTCCACGAGCGACATGCCTCAGGATTCTGGTATGTCCCGATGTTTCACGAATTTCTAGCCCCCGGGACAGAGGTGCCTACTCGCGCAATCGCAAGAGGATTTCTCGGATATACTAATATACTTGTGTAGTATTTGTAATTCTTTGCTGCACCAACAGCACTTCTGCAAGGAGGGGGGATCCCCGTGCCCAGCAGATAACCTCTGTGCTTTATCATCTTGCTTGGGGTTACAGGCCCTGTAGGATGGTGCAACAGCTGTCCACGAGCAGCATACCTCAAGAATCCCGTATGCTAAGATGTCTCACTTTTCACCATTTTCTAGCCCGCAAGACAGAGGTGCTTGCTCGAGTAGTCGCAAGAAGATTTCTTGAACATGCTTCATGTATCATATACTGAGGTCAGACACTTCTGTAAGAGGCCTAATCTTACCTCCGACAGTTGCACCAGCAGAGAAAAACAAATCGGAAGAGAGTCGTTGATTGCTTCAGGTTTGAATTTGTGTTTCGGCTTGTGATCCATTCGTGGCAATTGTGTCTTCATCCTCTAGCTCCAAGGTCGAACTGCCACAGCACTTCGAGAATCCTGTAGAGGACCCCAAACATCCCTTGACAGCGCCTGCATACCCAGAGTCTCAAGAGGTATCCCATGTTGAGACAAATGAGGATTGTACGGATTAAGGCACAAAGCGGAGGGATTTGTAGCTTTCAGAGCAGAACCCCAAACTTGCATCATGCATTGTCCAGGGCTCTACTCGCTAAGCCGCCTGGAAACTACTATCATATATTGGGGTTGTATAGGGGTTATATAGGGATAACGGAAGGGAAAATGGAACTACTATAACTTACACCCTGTGTTCGGATATAGTCTCTATGAGAGGAGTAGAATCTTGTTTGGCTGAGCCACGAAAAAATGCTACTGGACATGCCCCATGCTGTA